ATAGGAATAGTTATAATAGTTAATACGAGTTTACAATAGTAAAAGTTGAAAACGTATTGCGTATTGTTTGGGAAACTATTTGTTTAGGAATTATATTGTACTGGTAGATGTGTTTTCAAACGTGAGAACTTGAAGTAGATAAACAGAATAATAATTCCATTTTATATTTGATGATGTCACACGCGATACAATATTAATCAGCACGATAAACATTCTAAACCATGATAATTTCAAACACTCTCAATCTCTAAATTTTAAACGAACATATATCATTTCACAAATACAATCGAAAATTTCCTTAATCCTTCACAACGTTAATTATTAATTATTAACCAATATCCACTTACAATTCCTTCGCAAAAGTTTCCCAATCCAACAATCTCAATCCCATCCGAATTTCAAATCGATCCAGAATCCTGAGTCACTGATGCTGAACCATAAAATCTGAACCACTACAATCCACAATTTTCCTCCACTATCCTTTCTCGTCGATCATTTCGGAGTCTCTAGTCTCTTCGAGGGTGCAAATTATCACGCATCCCCCTAGACTTCCCAGACTTTCGAGGCAGTTACATCCCCCTCCCCTCCACGAACAGGGAAAGTTTCGTCGGGACCTTGGGCCTTTTGTCGCCTTTTGTTCCACGATTGTCTACACCCAATCCTCCCGGTAAAATCGTAGCTTTATTAAATCGGACACACGGTTAGAGAAGCTGTAAGTAGGGTGGCCGTGCCAGGTGAAGCGTGCCATAGACGCAATGAGACTAATTACCACGGATAGATGTGCCCTCTCCCAGTAGATAGTTGCAGCTTTCCACGGTCTATGTTCCACCCTCTTCATCTACGAATTTATAAGTTTTTCTTCTATCTTCTTGTTATCCTTTTTTTTTCTCCCCCTCTCTTAAAGTAGTATACCCTCGTTCATACAAGTTGTTATGAACAAGTTTGAAAGTCTCCTTTTCCTTCTATGCAATAACTTGTATACGTGAGAAACTTAGGAACGAATTAGAATTATGATTCATTCCGGATGGTAGTATCATCATCGGTTAGCGGTCAGCGGAGGAGTCGAGGTCACAGGGAGGTTCCATTAAAGTTTCAGGAAAATGATCGTCGCCGGTCCATTGCCGCATAAATTACGTGTTCGATTTTCGTGGCTGCGAAATTCACGATCCAAAGGATTTAGTCTATAAATTTTCACGAAGGTTAGGCCGCGTGACTCCGGGAACTGGCTGGATAATTTGTAATCCCTCCCACTTCTTGATTATAACATGTGAGAACTTTATAAATTAATGATATAAATTGTTTGCTTGATGATCAAAAAATGAATTAAAAATAAATTCAATAAAATTTCTCAAACAAATGAGAAAATACGTTAAAAATCTCTAAAAAACGTGTATTTCAAATCTTTAAAACGTGTTAAAAAAAGGATTTTACATATTATTTTTTATATTCTTTGCAAAAAAAGAAAATAAATTTTCCATCTCAATGATACCTTCCCGAATATAAATATCCGAAATTCTCTCGATTTAAGTAAAAATCAATATACGGCCAATTCACTTACTTCACCGGAAAAACAACTCCTACAACGTTTGATTTATTAAAAGTCTAATAAGTCCGATATTTCGAACAACCATCGATTTTAAAACAAAAAACAATTCGCGTTGAAACGAGAGAATCAAGGAGGGAGAGGAGAAAAAAGAATATAGCAGGATGGCAATCGACGTCCGGATTAATCGAGGCCATAAATTCGTCAGAGAGTGCTTATTAATTTTTGCCGAAACGTTGTCTGGCGTCGATTTAATACGATTCCCGGGGAAAACGATGGTGATTCGGGGATTGATGGGGCGCCGTTAGAAACATGGAACGGTTTAATATTTCAAGAGGCGGATGGAAATCCGACGACATCGAAGAATTTTAGAATTAGTTTAATTTCGGATCATGCTCTTCGACGCATCGAATTTTCGATCGAATCGACACTCTTTAAATTCTTCGGGCTGGTAATCTTCCAATCATTTTTCCTGTTCGAGTTTAAAGAGGAAGAGGTGTTCAATTTTATGAGAGAAAAATTTTCAATTTTTATTTTTAGACGTGAAACATATTTGGATACGTGTGAATCAAAAAAATATCGATAAAATTGATCGATACATTGAATTGATCAAATGATATAATTGTTTATGTAATTTATTTTATCGAGTAGACTTCTCTTAATGATTAATTGATTTTATTATTATTTTAAATTTATAAAAATTTAAAATAATCATATAAAAAATAAAATACCGATTGAAGTATAATTAATTTTATATAAATATTTTTCGTTAATGAATTAAATACTTTACTTCCTGATTTCAATTTAATATCCCATTTATATAAATAATGATATTTGGGATATTATAAGTTTACTTGACTGTTATTTTGTATATTATAATTATTTTTCGTAATAAAATAATGAGAAATTCGAGAAGTACACGATCTGATATTCAATAATGTAAATATGTTTCAAGTAATATTCGAATGACATAATTAGTTAAATTAAAATCAAGTTCTTGAAAATGTTGCGAGTGATTTTCCAGAACTCGTTTGAATAAATTATTTACTACTTATAATCTTAATAATAGTGAAAATAAATAAATTTCATTCGAAATATTATTCCATATTTCAATATTTATTATATTTTTTTCATATTCCATTTTAAATATTCAATTAATTCCTCTTCAATAATTTTTGAGTACTATATACTATAGTATATAATTTCATTCATAATTATTCAAACGAGAAAATTTTAGATTTGGTTTCATTGTAAAAAATAAATAAAAGCTTTATAAGTATTCAAAAATAAACTCCTGATTCCAATCTAATTTTTCACAAAAGATATACACTATTTTTCAAAATTTTAAAATTACTTTTCTAACTATAATTAACTATAATTAATTTGAATTTTCCTATTTTTTTAAAATTTTAAAAATCTACCAATACTATCTACTACTAAAAAAATCCCAATACCAATTTCACTTCGACACGAATCTTACACGAAAAGATTTTCTACATTCTGATAATATCTTAATCTGAAATTTTTTAAATTTTTGAAAGAAAAGATCATCATTTATCTCTTCAATGAATCAACCAATGAAACCACGATCCAAAAAAACACCACTTACGATTTTTTACACCCTCTGAATCCACATCACACGACCAACCATGTGATAATTTCATTCCTCATGCTGATTCCTCATCCTCGTTCCGAATTCGTCCTCCCGTTTCTTATTTAACCAAGAGACGGCGCACGAAGAAGCTAGGACAATCTGAAACGATCGCTCATGAATAAAACAAATCATCACGTTCAAATTGCCGAGCCAATAGAAGGGCGCGCCATAAATTTTCATAAGCTCATCTTTATTAAACCGCGCACGAGCCACGTCAACGTCGGCAAAATGGCTTATTCCGCGCGAGAGTTCCTCCTCGCGAGCATACGAGCGTGCACGAGCTGGATCGAGACTCGATCTCTGCTAATATTGCGTTTAACGAACAGCCGCCGGCAAGTTTCTACAACAAGGAGTGAGATTTCGGATGGAATCGAACGCGATGTTGAAGTTCGACAAAGTTACGAAGAACTTGGTATTTTGGAGAATCTTACTAGGTCAGATTAGGTTTTGCATAACGTGTGGATTACTTCTTTTGATTAGGCGGAATTGGATTGTTTGTACGATGTACGATCCTTCGGTACGTGATTCTTAAAGTTTCTCTCTTGGAGAGTTTGATACTGAAATTTAGATTTCGATTAATCGCTGTTCGAATTGTTACTTACTCGTTTACTTGATAAAATATTTTTTATTTTTCTATTGAGAATTAATTGGATCGTTATTTGGTATATTTGTTGTTCTATTTATATTCTTCGTTATACGTATGTTCTTCATTCGGATTTTTATTAAATGGAACTGAAAATTTTGAGTATTGATTATAAAAAAATACGACAAATATTATAGGATAGGTAAGAAACTCACTATTTGGTGTAAAAGATTCGAATCCGTGGATGGCGACCCCTGATTCGGGGTCTTCGTATCTTTCGCCACGGAATTTTCTCGATTCCTCTTTTATTATTGCTTCCTGTTTTCTGATATGAAGACTCTCAACTACAGAATTATTTCATAAATCTTAAAACCAATATTAGTTAAATAAATAATAAAACGATTAAATTTCTATAATTTTTAAATAATCAATTTTAAAAAGAACAATACAATAAAAAAGAATAGTAAATAAAAACGAGAAAAGAATATTAGCTTTGAGTAATTATCGATATTACAAGCGAAATTTTTTATGCAGATTTATTACGAATTGTTATCGGTTTAATTCCGCCTTTTAATTGCCTCGATAAATAAGCTAAATAAAATTTCTCACCAATTAAAGAATAAAATAGACGAAAAACGCGACTATCGAAAATTGACTTTACTCGTTGAAATCTGTTAATAGACTGACTGAAATCGACGACTTTTGTTGTCAATTTGTGTTATTCCTCTGTCGGTCGATATCTGTTTATATTTCCTCGTCGATTTATGTATTGTTTCTATTCCTCAATGTTTCTATTCGAATCTCGTATATTATGGTTTATCAATCGACACAGCTACGGATTAAGCATTCGAATATATGAACGACAAATTTTTATCGAATCACCACAGCACTTCAGTCTTTTTTATTGTAAATTTTTATTAATATATACTCGATTGATTGATTTTCATTGTTAATTGTTGTACGAGATTTGTACGAATAATAAATGAAAGTATATAAAGTGGATATTATTTTTAGATTTAAACAAAATTAATCTTCTCACGATCGATACTAATTTATTTACAAACCATGTTACTATGTGCTTAAAAAATAATTTTCTTTTAAAATTATAGATCATTATATTATAAACGAATTATTAATTAAAACGAATAAATAATTCATTAACTTTATAAAATGTTGAGTAATAAAATTATCCTGTTATATAGATGAATATTTTTACATTATTTATATCATTACTATTTCAAGTTTATTTATTTTAAATGAAATTAAAATTTTATATGGTGAAATTATTATATCATGTAGATATTCAGTACTCCTTTTAACCCAATTTTAGCATTCGATCGCATTATAAGCTTTTACAATTACCTCATTCATTATTTCCCATATTCAAAATTAGGAACATAATATTACATATAATTACATTAAAAATTTAAAAGCCTTAAAAGTAATTATGAATGCACGCGTATTATGAATTTTATACTGTATCAAAGTTTATTTTTAAATCGCGAGTAATCGAAGAATTAAGTTCTCTATAAAAAATACAAATTTAATTCTTTTTTTTTTTTATTAAAACAAGATTAATAACAAACTAATAAAGAAACCAGTGGAAGCAACAAGAACGAATAATATCGATCATTTTTAATTCTCTTTGATGTTTTGCTTCCAAAGGCAATTTTATAAATTAAAATAAATCCACTGTGATGAAGAAAATACATCCTTTTGTTTCAATTAATATTTTATAAAATCAAAAAATTATTAATTAAACATCTATCATAAAAGTCAGTATCGATCAAGAACCATTGTTAGTTCATCTCTTTATCATCGATTAACATAGCTCGATTTACACGAATTAAAATTGAAATTAAAATTCAATTCATCTTTCTCTTTTTCCAATCGAATTATTATTTAAATGCCTGAGTGACATAATGTTTTATAAACCGAACATTTAAAGCTTGAAAATTGCACGCTTTTAATAATTGCACGAATTTTGAATAATGATAAATTTTCTATTCGGATGGAGCGTGTGACAATTCATTAATAAATTTAATAAATTTTCAATATATCCAATGAACTTTTAATCAATTTTCAATGAATTTATTGAATTAAAATTAAGAAGAAAATATATATTATGCAATGTATCGAAAATAAATAACATTTATCATAAAATATGAAAACTTAAGTTTTAAAATTACATTAAAAAGAAAAGAAAATATAAATTATTATGAATTATTTTGTACAATAAACATTATCTATCAATACCATTATTAACCATCAGATTTCAAAGAATTTCATATGCAATCATCTAATGGATATCGAGGAAAATCCAATTATTCAAAACGAACAAAATCAATCGATAGGTAGCGGCGAAAAATCTCGGAGAAACCTGATCCTGTTTCATCATCGTGGGTACGTGACACGGGACGAGCGACACGAATACCTCATTATGCAAATCCTCCTTAAATCGCGGCCGAAACAGCGTTCACGTGGCCGCCATCGAATCATGGTTAACCACAGATATTCCGCGTGTGTTCCTTCGAATCGATCGATTCTCTATCCAGTCGATCAATGCAAAATCATCAAAGCGTGTTTTATCGTTTGCCTATTCAACACGTCCTCATAAGCCACCATATCCCACTATCATCGAAATTGCTCGTCCCTCTTATAAAACCAATCCTGATTATCGATGATCAATCATGAATATCCATGATTCTTTTTTGACTCTCTTTTGGGTAAATAAATCGAAAATGCTTTGAAAAGATCGTTTGGTCGATTGTGAATGTGATTCGATATTTAACGAATGATTGGATAATTATAAAAAAAAATTTTTGAAAAATTTGATATGAAAAAATGATTAAAGTAATTTTGGATAAAAAATAATGTAACGTGAATATGTAAATAATTGTGAATAGCAGATGAATATTCTGTATTTGTAACGATTTAAAATTTTTATGATTAAAATATTTTGAGAGATTTCTCAAGAAAATAATAATTTGATTGAAAAGATGTTGCCTGATCATGGATATTTAAAATTGACAAAAACCTATAAAATCAAAAGAGATAAGTAAAAATTTCAAAAATGAAACGTAAAAAGATCTAAAACTAATCTTTTCACACCAATTAATGATATTTAAAAATATCAAAAGAAGTAATATTAAAAAATGTATAAATGTACAGGAAGAAAGAGGAACTAAATCAAACCAAAATTACAAATACCTGGTGTACTTGTACCAACAAGAAAAGAGAAAGTTACGATGATAATAACTAAATGTATGTACCCTATGGAAAAAAAAACTGAAATCAAGTATCAAGTCCAAAATGGCGCGCTCATAACAGACATCTGACTACCGGTACCGCCGTAATTGCACGTTCGAATGCAAAATATCAGGGAGCCCGAGATCAGAGGATTAAACCGAAGTTTCCCCGTAATTTCTCATTCCCGTGTTACAAGGAGGGGGAGGAGGGGATGGATCGTGGCACGTTGAACGCAATTACGATGTCAAAGAAGACGCGAGAGTCCTTGACGGAAAAAAATTCCAGTGGGCCAGAGAGAAATAAAAGAGGAGACGGGAGCGGAAGTTGGACGTTGTCGCGGAGGAAACGGCTCCTAGAACTTTCATTAGGCGAATCAGAATCCGTTTCCTAACCGCGTTCCCAACGAAAAGTTCGGAGAATTTTGATGGAGGCTGGCACAATGAGAGAACGAAAAACTGGTAATAGATGAAGGGAGATCTTTGAAAGAATTTCGATCTAGGTTTAAACGATTTTAGAAATTTTCCCTCTTTTTTTTATTGAACATCCAGATTTGATTAGATGAACAGATCTGAAGTGTCAAAGTGGAACGAATTTATGATCGTTAATTTAAATTATTTAAATAAATCTCCAAGTATTTATCTCAAAATTATCTCTATTAAAAACTTATTTGTACAATCAATATTTTAAATATTCACTTATTCATTCAATCAATTCCATGTTATAATCATATTCTCAATGTCTAGTACACTCCTAAAAAAGTAAAACATCACTCACCAATATAATAACTCCCCCTGTTTAAATTTCAATGAAAAAAACAACAATTACTTACCCTCCTGCATATTTAACTTTTCATTACCTCGATCACAATCCGTTCCCTTTCTCATTTTCTTCCCTTAAACACTGCCAACACAGACGTTTACAGACGTCAATGAAAGCAACGTGCAAACAGTACCAGAAACGGGAAGAAAAGGTTGGAATCCCTGCCCTAGGAAGGAAAGAAGCAAGGAAGGATTACGAGTACATCAACTCGCTTTACAGTCCCCCCCTCCTCAAGAGGGGGTGGATTATGGCTCGGCCACGAAGGCGGCGAGTTTCTCGCTCGAACACTCGGGAGTATAACCGAGGGAAAGTTGATTGAACGGGACTTCTTAAGGAAGCTCTTCGACGCCATTCAGTTGCCCTCGATGGCCGCAATCCACGAATAGCTTTGGGAAAATTTGCCTGATTCGAAATCCGTCTCATTCACCACTCTTGTTCCCTCCCTTTGGATAGCCTTTGAAATGGATTTGCTCGTGGCTATCGTGGAATGCAATCTCGCGATAAAGATTGGCGATTAGGGGTTATTATTCGCTCATCGGGAATGATACGAATGTTTTTTTTATTCTCCTTTTTCCCTTCTATCTTTCTCTCTTTCTTTCTCTCTCCATCTATCTCGTCTTCTTTCATCGGGGTAGAGGTCAGATAAGCGATCGAATTGGGTTCTCCCGATGCAAATCTCAAGTTTCCGGTGTGGAACGACGTGCCACTTCTTCTCCTCCGAGTTTCATCGCCTCTTAGAGAGGTATCTCGATGGAATCGCGCAAGTTGGCCGGGGGATTAACGGAAGAAAGGAACCCGATGGTCGCGCGCTCTTGCGGGCGATTTATGAATAGTTTGCCGAGAATCGAGATGAGAATTGCGATGATGATTTTACGGTCGACTATAACAATTGCGAGATTTAAATTATCGTAACATTTTTTTTTCTTTTTTTAAGACAATGCAATTCACTTTTAGGACGGAAGAAATGTCAAAAATAATATACAAAAAAAAATTCTATTCTAATAATAATTCCTTTTCCTTTTACATTATTCGAATTCGAAAGGAAATAAACGAATCGAAAGCGCGATAAGTATCTCCCCTCCCCCTCCCCCTTTACCGAAAAGGTACCGCGTTCCGTTAATTCCGAAACTAATTAAAAGGCAACGATAAACACGCTCGATTCACCGGTCCCATTATCCTAATGAAAAATACGTGGCGTTAAGTGTTGGGGGAGGGAGGGAAATTACTCGGGCCAAAAAGCGTGTTCGTCTCCCTCCCTCGATATCTCGCGTTTCAATTTGCCGCCCTCCTGTACAGGGG